TGAATGGCCTGATGCCTTAGGTTTTTATAGAAGTGTTACGGGAAGGGGACTGGCCTAGGGGCAGCTGGTAAGTGTGTGGGTTCTTGACTACGTGCAGGAAAAATTTCACAACATTGGTCCAGGTGATTTTGAGGGTACATTTATTAAAACCGGGGACAGAGATACAAGGAAGGGCCTAAGATAGAAGAAGCTACAGGAGAGGGCCTAGGTGGGGTGGCTTTGGCTCTCTAGAAATGTTATATGAAAGAAATGAGTAGATGAGTGGATTAAAAAACTGTGGTACATCTACACAATGGAATACTATGCTGTGGTAAAGAAGAAGGAGTTCTTACCATTTGCAACAGCATGGATGGAACTGGAGAGCATTATGCTAAGGGAAATAAGCCAATGAGAAAAATATATATCACATGATCTCACTTATGTATGGAATATAATGAACAACATAAACTGATGAACAAAAACATCCAGTGACAGAGAAGCATCGATCAGACCGTCAAACCTCAGAGGGAAGGTAGGGGAGGATGGGGGTAAGGGGGGAAGATGAAACAAATGGAACTGGAGCGCATTATGCTAAGGGAAATAAGCCAATGAGAAAAATATATATCACATGATCTCACTTATGTATGGAATATAATGAACAACATAAACTGATGAACAAAAACATCCAGTGACAGAGAAGCATCGATCAGACCGTCAAACCTCAGAGGGAAGGTAGGGGAGGGTGGGGGTAAGGGGGAAAGATGAAACAAATGTTATAACGTACCCTGTGAATCACAGAAGGATGCCTCAAGAAGTCGAATTAAAGACTCACATTTACTGCAATCCGGGACTCCGAGGGGGCATTTCGCTCTCCCAAATCTCGAAGTGATAAGATGGCTGCAACACCAGATTTATATAGGCAAAAATCACAAAGGTATTGATTACATCCCAGGGTTTGGAATGAGGAACCTGGCTCGCAAAAAAGCAGTTTACAGAAGCAGAATTAAGCATGTTAATTATAGTTTTGGGTCTCCGGATCACTGAGTTGACAGAAACACATTATCTGGGACCCCTGGGTTGACAGGAACACATTAATCTCAAACCCTCAGGTCTTGGGATAATTGTGCTGTCCTGGTTCCCAGGTACAGAGAAATTTGCTTCCTAAAACCAGTAAGATCACAGTCAATGGGATATTCACATTACAATCAATAAGGCATTCAATTGAATGGGATGATTTATATAATTCAGAAAATCAAAATAACCTTTCTATTGTTAAACAAAGCAAATAGGTACAGAAGCCATCAGCA